GCCTTTTCTTTTGGGGCTGCAACCTCGTCGGGGGTTCCTGCGTAGTACCGCACCGCACCGGCCAGGCAGATACACGATGTATATTATTATTTGATGACTAACAATGTAACGGCAGTTTTAAAATAATTAAAAAAAAATATTGGAGGATGGGCATAAAACAGGACTGTAAAAAATTGCCATAGGCCACAATGGGGCCCCAAAAAACACCCCCACCCCGGTAATTTTTTTTTTTTTTTTGCATCTGTTAAACTTATTTGATTTAGTGAAAATTCGAGAAATTCAATGGTGTAAAGCTTAGTTAAAACCAGAACTTCTTGGAGATTTTAAATCATCAATTTCTTTTTGTAAAACAAGACCCCCGGTCACCGAAAATTTTGCTTTAAATCGTAAAATAAAAATACAATAAAACTAAGACATTACTTGAGTAGAAAAACTTTTAATTGCTTTTATGAATAAGATATATTGTGGACACTATTTTTTCGATGAATAATGTATTTTTACAAGAATTTTTAAAAATTTCTATCAGAATAATTTATAGTTTTTTAATCTTTTAACGTTTTATGTTACTTTGTCCTGGTTAGGTGATATTGTTATTAAGTAAAAACAATATTTACGGATGGAAAGCTTAGTACAATTCAGCGATACCCAATATTTTAAGAAGAATTTTGAAACATTTTTATGTGCGTGTATAAACGTGCCTATTTTTGTAAATAGGGTCGTCATACACGTCATTTTCCAAAAATAAGAGCGATAACTATAGTAAATTTTAACTCAAAGTACTTAAAATTCAATAAAACATTAGATTACAGGGAATATTTTCCTAAAATTTTAAAATTACCGAGTAGTTAAAAATTATATATAAAAAAAAATGCGATCATGTTATATTCCTGAATTTTTACAGATAAACTTTCGTTTGTCTGTCAACCTGTCAACAGCTTAAATAAACAGCTACCGCCGTGTTAAAAATGCATTTCTGCGATATTTTAAACTTTAAGTGATATTTGTTTTAAATTAGATTAATTAAACTTTAAATCAGCTAATATTCTTCAAATAAAGTTTCAGAAAAGTATATTTTATTTTTGAAAGATTTTTTTAATAAAGAGAATTACGTTGTGTTAACAGATGGTTTAAATGGCGCTAAAATCAGCGATTTAAAAAAATCCCTCCAATCAACTTAAATTATTTTTGTAATACAGTAAACTATTTTGCTTATTGGAAATATGAATAATCTATGAGCTTGAAATTAAAAACTAAAATAAGAAAGATTTTTTTTTTATCTTTAAAAATTCATTTTAAACCTTAGGTATTGCGTTTCTTTAAAGGTCTCAGCGTAGTAGATATAATGAGAAAACGTTGCACGTCAAAGTGTCCAAATGGTGAACGTCTTATCACTCTTGATAAATGATATAATTTTATTTTTATTTTATTATTATTTCAGTTTTGTTTATTCATATTTTCGAGTTTTATTTCATTTTTATAATTCACTGGTCAGCCTTATGTCTTTATTAAATCTATTTGGAACATGGATTTTATTTTATTTTTGTGTGTGTGTGTGTGTGTGTGTGTGTGTGTGTGTGTGTGTGTGTGTGTGTGTGTGTGTGTGTGTGTCAAATACTTCAAATTTAAAGCGTAAATTTGATTGGAATATAAAATGTATAAAAACCTTAATGATCAATTTCATTTTTATCTCTTGAAATGGAATACAGGTGATTTATTGCCCGCTAAAATTTTCTTGGCGCCAATGTTAGAACATTCATGTAATTGATTGCAATGGTGGCGAATACACGCTAAAATTGTCGTCTCGGGTTAACTGATCTTTAATGCCTTTTAATCCCAATGTTGTAGATTTACTAAAAAGAAAGATCTACACGATTTAAATCTTTATCTACGAAGATTAGCCTCGATTATAGAAAGAGACAGAAATTCGACTTTCTGGCAACGACATGCAGAAAAACAGTCTAAATTTCAGTACGTAGTTTTTTTTTGTTTTTTTTTAATACCATTTCTTTCCAATGTGTAAGCGATCATTACTATCCATAACTTCCTTTAATATAAACGAATTGGAAAATAGTGGTTTCTCTTTGCGCTATTGTTATGGTCCGGTTCCTTGTACCACGGTGATAGTCCAAGGTAGAACCAATAAAGAAGAACTCGAACACGGATATGGAATAACACAGATATATTACAAACAGGAATATATACAGAGAAGTAGAAAGTGTTAGTACGAACAATCAGGTTTAGTAGTAATTGTCTGAACGCGACTCTGTTTCGGACTGCCTCTGACTCGACTGACTGACTCGCTCGCTCTGACTGACTGACAGACTCCTGACGGACTTTACTCCAGACTTCAGACTGAACGGTATTTAGTCACCCCCCAACCCACGAGGGCATCATGTGGCACAAGGCCGGTTTAACGTGGGATCTCCGAGCCCGTGGACTCGGCCAAAAATATGCCCTTTGAACCCGTATAAACGGGTTCAGGGTCGGTATATCTCCCCGAAAGAGACTCCGCCCTTCGGGGTAGCCTCGTTCGGGTTCCTCCCCGCCCGAAGGCAGAGAGTTCAGCCGATCAACCGGTGCCCGACTTCAGACTGAACTCCCTGCTTCCTCCTGAGGCTCAGTATTTATTACGTATGGAATAGTCCATTATGTTATTATGGGTAAGGTTCCATAACAGTTATCCTTCTGTGAGACTAGCCAAGTTTGGAAACTTCTGTCTTGGAGAGAAGCGATGGGTTCATGCATTCCTGAAGAGAATTAGTACGAAATGGGTGCAACAGACTAGGGCCAGAATTTGAACTCGGCTTGAAAATTTCACTTTCCCTACTGATAACCGTTACACTACCCACACATCCACGTTTTTAGTTACTGAAATTTGTGTGTGTGTGTGTGTACAAGGGTAAGAAGAGTGAGTGCTCAATATCAGAAAAGAGAGTTTATAGATATAATGTGGCCATAGGAATCAATACTGCATGGTGATAGTCTGTTTCATGCCTCAATCCGATATTGTTCTGAATATCGTATTGAAGCGTGACGCCGACGGTCAACATTTAAAATTGATTCCTATGTCTGCACGAGCTGACGGCTATATCAGGTTTAACCATCGCTTCTCGTACGATCACCGAAGTTAACAACTGTTTATCCCATCAAAAAATGAGAATTTTATTAAAGATGGGATCAAGAATTTGAAGGTAGGTTGGTGAACATTCATTCATCAACATGGTGTCTATTTCAACTAAATAAATTATTTAACATTTCAGAAGCGTTTTATTCAATTTCTATAAAGTTAGTCATTTCATGTGTGACAGCCTAATAAATACTTATCCGCATAGTTTTGATTTCTGTTACAAAAATAAATCAGTTTTTAAAGAATGTAAAATTTTCCCTATTTTTTTACCAATGCATATTTATAATGAAATAAAATTTGCTAAAGCAATATGTAAAAAAAAAAAAAAACAAATTTCCATATATTTTCCGAGTAACAAACGTGATAGAATAATATCAAAATATAAGAAATAAGCGCTAGACTACAGCTGTGAAAATAGTTTCAAAATAATAGAATAATAATAATTTAATATACTGATTGACACAAAAAATTTCGGAATGTTGCTAAATTTTGTCTTGTTTACTATCTAATAAAATATCTTAAATGTTAAGTTTTAAACTGTATTATTAGAATATGAGGCTAGCTAAACGCTTTCCTTTAGTAAAAATAAGGGAGTCAAAAGGGTTTCTTGTCTTACTTTGTACTTTAACTGGCGGCGTGTTGTCGAAGGGTACTTTTTATCTGGACCCTACACCTTATTTGGATTAAAACTGATCTTTGGTATGTTAAGTAGGGATTCATTAAGCTTACCTCATGTTATCTCGTTCCACATTGTTGTAAAGTATACAAATCTCATCAATAGTCTCAATTTCTTTTAAAAATGGTTGATTTTTATGTTTTTGTAGGGAAACATACACAAATACGATCCAGCAAATTTTTTTATCGTTTAATTTATGTGAAAGAACGACTAACATAACCAAGAATGTTTTTCAACGTTGGATATTTTCTATATGCTGGTTATCTATCGCATCTTATAAAACAGATTATTCTCAAATAATAATTTCAGTTGATAGCTGTTAACCTCAATTGGTCAATCATGGAGCATTGTTCAGTCAGATATCCCCAGTACAAAACTTCACAAACCGCTTTTGACACGTTCGATCATTCAGTATTTTCCCGATATACTGCACAATTTGTTTTGCTTGTTTCGCATTTTTATCTTCTTTTTTTAATATAAAAATGCAAACTATGTTTTCTTACATCTTTAATGTTAGAACAAACAAAACTATGCTAATTTTGACAATTAAGCAAAATACAGTGTAACCCGGATATAAGAGAGTTGTCGGGACCGTAGAAGAAGTCTCTTATATTCGGGTTTCTCTTATATCCGGGTTTGGTCTATTTTATATACATTAACACAGGCTCTAATTTGGGACCAGAGAAAATCTCTATTATATCCGGGTTTCTCTTATATCCAGGTCTCTTATATCCGGGTTACACTGTACACGATAATAGCTGTCACGACAAAATCAGGCGCAATCTTTTTTTTAACGAAGTTAGTCAACAAAACAATAACAAACAATACCTTTTTGGCCAATCATGTGTTTAAAAAAATGTATAACTACAAGTGACGAGTGTTTAGCTATAGACTATGTGGATATAAGTTGATTGATTGAGTGATTTGTTTTTTACGGCTTATCAACCTTTTGCAGGTTATTTAAGGCCAGAAAATATTTTTAGATTGTAAGAGTTTTTTGGGGTTTTTTTTTTTAGATAATAATGATTTGTTGATACAAGTCTTATTTAACCCATAGCTGGAGAGAAGGGGTTGATTCATACATTTCCCAAGAGTATTTGCACGTAAGTGAATATAACGAACTGGCTGGAATTGGAACTTTGCACTTCGATTTACAATTCCCAGCCATTATCCATTACACCACCAGCACATCCAAACTTACAGCGCCTGATATTCCCAAGCGGTCACCCACCTAAGTACTGACCAGGCTCGACTTTGTTTAAATTCGGTGATCGTGCGAGAACCAGTGTTTCAGCGTGATGTGGCTGTAAGCCTCGTAGACTTCGAGTGGAATACCCACCCCTAGAATGAAAAAAGAAAAAATTGTGTTTAAAAATACGTTGAATCCAAAGAGTGGTGCTTACTGAAGGTCATATGAATTCATTAATTAAAAAAATAAATATACACAAATTGGATCGTAATGTAGTAGATTCCATCTTAGAAAATTAATAAACTATAAATTATAAAATTAATTTAAAATTTCCGTATAATATTTTTCCTAGAAATATTTAGCTGCGGGGGAGTGGAGCGCGTACACCAGTTATTGTGGTGTTAAAAGATGTCCTTTTCTATAAACTTCTGGATAACCAAACAATTGGTGCGAGGAAGTACTTCTCTCAGATAGACCAACTGAGGAAAGCAAGGGACGAAGACAAAACACATAATATTCACTTAGGATAACACTTGATCACATGTCTCTTTGGTAACCAAGCAAAAATTGTTACAGATTTACGAGTGAATACTGAAAAATTCCCTTTCTGCCCATTCACACAACTCTAAATAGGTCTTGCGATCTGTACATTCTAAAAAAACCTTCACTATCGAGGTCTTCTGTTAGTATAAGTAGCGAGTTTGTACCCATTGATGGTTTGATAGGTATGTCGCTTAGCTTACAGCACCTAATATTCCTCATGGTCACCCATTTTAGTACTGGCCAAGTTCATCGTTGGTTAACTTCGGTGATCGGCTGAAAACGTGATAAGGCCGTTCCGAGCCACTTTCCAAAATCTGACAAATCATCATCAGAACTGTTTCGACTTGAAGGCACACTGTGAATCAGTGTAATTTCTCTTCTTCAGTGTGGTCTTATCATTTCCAAGTATGGACGTCTGTTCAAGCTGATTTGTGTTTCTTCAACATGTACAAAACCAACCTACGCTTTACACTGCTTTTTTCTCCTAGACTAGTTGTCAACCACAGCTAGAGAGTCCAGAATGCCTTGTAAGCCATAGCTGGTGCTAGAAGAGTTGGATAAAATTTATAAGTTGCAAAAATAAATGCAACGATCTCCAATTTCGAATTCCGGTCAAGATCGTTGCATTTATTTTTGCACAAACTCTTAAGAAATATAAATCCATCTCTTCTAACACCAGCCGATGTTTTTATTCTGAGGCATTATATCTGATAAAAAACGAAACATCTGTTTTTTTCGGTCCGAGAACTTTTCTGTATATCTTCCTATGAGCTGTTGGACTTATGGATTTTCTAATTTTTACAGAATTCTCTTAATAAAAATGAAAATTCATTTCTCTGGAAAACTTCCCAAGACATTTAGAACAGTTCTTTGCTTAGAAAGTTAAGACTTAGAGCGAGCTGAAAGATACCAACAAACATTGGCGGGTCTAGAGCGGGGCGATGGGTTTTTAGGGCGGCCGTGAGATGCACTTAGGTGAATTAGTATACAGGGGTTCCTCGACTTACGACAGAGTTCCGTTCCTACGATGAGTCGTAATGTGTAAAGTCGGAACTTACGGCCGATTTCCCGTAAAGAAGTACTCACTCACCAACAATTCAATATGACGTACAACCAGGAACTGACCCACGCCGCTTTCTATATGACGACATATTCTTCCGCCAACGGCAAGTTGAAACAAGATTACTGAAGATTGCGTCGTAACTACGAATCATCCTAGGTCGGAATTATTGCAACCCGGGAACTTACTGTAATAAAGTAGCATGCGAAATTAGTTGTGACACTTCTTACTTTCCCCCCTCTCATTCAATTATAGATGCTGATGTTGTGAGTCAAGGTTTTACGGAAAGGAAGGCAAGAAAAATTAACTTTTAAAATTACTGCAGCTTTTAACAAAATAAGCTACCGTAATATATTTTTATTTATATTTTTCTATATTTTGTAAATGTTGTTCTGTTTTGGAATGTTGTTTAGAGAGACAGTAAATTCTCCGACCGCCCCGGACGTTACAAACACTAGGTTCACCTCTGTGAAAAAAATGATGGCTAAAAAAAAAATAAATATGGCTAATAAAATCACTGTTCATATTTAAATTTAAAAAAAAAAATCAAGAACAGAAAGTAGTTATTTACATCCCGACACAAGATTAGTTAAATTTGGAAGTTTCACATGTTCGTCCTTGTGGAGAAAAATGCTCAGTACCCTTCAACCAATGCCACAAATGCCTCAGTGATAATACTACCCTCGTTAGTGCAATGGAGAGGTGGTTCTCTCAAGTTGGAATCTCATTTTGTGTTCTGTTTTGCCCAAAGAGAATACAGTGTAACCCGGATATAAGAGAGTTGTCGGGACCGGAGAAGAAGTCTCTTATATCCGGGTTTCTCTTATATCCGGGTTTGATCTATTTTATATACATTAACACAGGCTCTAATTTGGGACCAGAGAAAATCTCTCTTATATCCGGGTTTCTTATATCCGGAAGGCAGAAGAGAATAGATGCTGCACTTTGATTTGTGATTAGTTTTGTTCGTAAGAGTAATAAACTTGAAAGTTTATCCAAATATTTTTAATGTTTGAATCCATCGGTTTAATAAAACTTGTTAAACAACTGATATATTCACCGAAAGAACAAACAAGAAGTACAAGTTAAGATACTGAACAGAGCCTGGGTTTCCCAGTCAGACGATTCTTAAACTTTTTTTAATTTTATTTTGTGCAAAATTTCTTTCATCTGTATTCATTTTTTATTTTTTACATGTTTTTTTTTTTTTTCAAAAAGCGGCAAAGTTAAAACTTTATTGGACAACTCAACACTTGCCAGCCGGTGAGTTTCGAAAGGCGGCGAAAAAAAATTGTCGCCGGCAGAAGCTTCTTTGAAGTGGTAAACCGTTGGCGACTCTAGTTTTATTGTGTGTTACGCTCTTTCCGTTTTACGACAATTTGCCGCCGTCTTTGCTGCCGTTTACCCATTGAAGACCTTTAATTTTTATTTATTTATTTTCACGCGATTAGACATTATTTTGTCTTTGTTGGTTTAATTAAAGTCTATAGCTTTGTATTTCTCGCTGGAAGTTACACTTTGTTAGGTTTGAAAATGAACGTTTTTTGCTTTTGTTTAATGTGTTAGACTATTTTTTTTCTCTTTTCTCTGTGAAAAAAACGATAAAAAGAATGAAATGATTTGATAAAAATTTTGTATAGATAATTAATGAATTTTGAGGATTACTTTTACATGCATCTGTTTTTTTATTCACATCAAATGTTTAGGTTAGATATTGAATGCTTGGAAATCCCTTTGCTATTCCAGCCGTTTTTATTGATGTCCGACAACAGTTGTCAGAATGGTTTACCGTTTATTCTTCCGTAAATCTTCAATAAGCTCTTACTATTAGAGACAAGGTACCTCCACTAATTTTCGATACCTAAGGTTTAATGAATTTTTAAAACTGAAAAGGTATTCTTGAATTTTTTTTTTTTTTTCTAAATGATTAAATTTACTCTCTTCTGGGAGCAAAATACTCTGACGCATTTCAAATTGAAATTGTACTGATTAGAATCTCAACTTTTATATTGCTTTCAGTAAAATCATTAAAATCGGCTATTTTTGACACATTTTGATATATATGTAAACAAAAGTTAATTCTCAGGTTTAAAAATTTTCCAAAAATAAATTACACTAATTATTAGCCGATTTAAAGTATAATTAATCTGATTCGAAAAATATTATTTACTTTAGTTTAAAATAACAGAGAAATGGATTTTTAAAACAAATAATAGCGGTGATTACGCGATATCACCGCTCGTAAATCACTTAACAAGATCTGATAAGGTCTTGACAATTTTATTATTGTTTTACAGATACTTTATCTGTCTATTAAACATAATTTAAGAAAATGACAAGTGAGCTCCATTTATATATATATGAATTTATATATGAATATATATATATATATATATATATATATATATATATATTATTATTATTATTATTATTATTATTTATAAGTACTCAGTAATCTTTAAAAATGTTGGAAAGTATTCTCCGTAATCTAATTTTAGGAATTTTGACTTTTAATTTTTACTATAGTCATAGCTCTTAATTTTCTGATAATGTTGTGTATGGTCGACCATACTTTCAAACAGGAGCACGTTACGTAATATTTTGTATACATAAAAAAAAAAAAATTAAAAATTGTTTTAAAAATCTTGAGGCAAAATACTTTGTATTAAGCTTTTCAATTTTTGATTAGTAAATTTATAATAATAACAAATAATTAATAACAATATCTTGTAACCAGATGAAGATAATGCAGAATTTTAAAAGATTTATATATAAATTATTATAATTAAAAAATTTTAAAAATGAAAACAATTCTTGTAAAATTTCGTTATTCATTGAAATTTTTCTTCTTAAAACAGTAGTTTCTTAAGAAATTTTATTTATAAAAGCAATTAAAAGCTTTTCTAATTAAATAATTTCAGTTTCATTGCATTTTTTATTTTACGATTCAGAGTAGATTTTTCATGCCTTTTCCAAACTTCTGGCGGAGTGAATTGCGTCATAATGCTCTTTTTCTCACAGGCGGTGACCAATTGACTCTACTGTTGACAAAATGAAAAACACAATGCGCATGCGCAAAATTAAAAATATAAAATTGCCTGGTCTAGAAGATATTTGGGTGGAGTTTTAGAATAGGCTCTGCGATTAGAAATAATCATATTTATTTATTTTTATTCATTTTATTTTTCCATATTACTATGGATTATTAAACACTCCAATTCACGAATAATTTTTTGATAAAATTTTATAAAAGTTAATACTGGGGTCCATTCTGTTATGTAAATTCATTGTAAATTGACCCCCCCCCCAGCCCTACGGAAGTCAAAATGAATATGCTTACACTCCTGTTTCTAAGCAACTACGATATTTAGATTTAATTTTAATCATTTATTTTTTTTCATAATATCAATTACATGAATTTACATAGCAAATTCGATGCGCGACAGTGTGAAATAAGAGAGCCGAGTTCGAATCCCAGTTGAGTTCGTTATATTCACTTACGCGCATATATCCTTTC